CAAGCGATAATTGGGAGCAAGCGATATTTGGGATAAAGCGACAATTGGGAGGGAGCAAGCGACCATTGGGAGGAAGCGGAAAATTGGGAGCAAGCGAAATTTGGGAGCAAGCGAAATATGGGAGCAAGCGACAATTGGGAGCAAGCGAACATTGGGAGCAAGCGACAATTTTGAGCAAGCAACAATTGGGAGCAAGCGAAAATTAGGAGCAAGCGACAATTGGGTGCAATCGAAAATTGAAAGCAAAGGACAATTGGGAGCAAGCGACAATTGGGAGGAAGCCAAAAATTGGGTACAAGCATCAAACGGAAGCAAGCAGCAGTTGGGAGCAAGCGCAATTGTGAGCAAGCGAGCATTGTGAGCAAGCGGCGATTAAGAGCAAGTGACATTTGGGAGCTAGTGACAATAAGGAGCAAGCAATAACTGGAAGCAACCGACAATTGGGAGCAAGCGACAACTGGGTGCAAGCAATTTTGGGAGCAAGCGATAACTGGTAGCAAGAGACAATTGGGAGCAAGCGACAATTGGTAGGAAGCGAGAAATGGGAGCAAGCGAATATTGGGAGCAAGCAAAAATTGGGAGCAAGCGACAATTGGGAACAAGCGACAATTGGGAGCAAGCGACAATTTACAGGAAGCGACAATTGGGAGCACGTGACAATTGAAAGCAAGCGACGATTGAGAAGAAGCGACAATTATGAGCAAGCGAAAATTGGGAGCCAGCGGCATTTAAGAGCAAGAGCAAGTGAGATTTGGGAACAAGTGAGATAACTGGGATCAAGCAACAACTGGGAGCAAGCAACAATTGGGAGCCAGCGACAGCTGGGAGCAAGCAATTTTGGGAGCAAGCGACAATTGGGAGCATGCGACAACTGGGAGGAAGCGAGAAATGGGAGCAAGCGAGCATTGGAGCAAGCAACAATTGGGAGCAAGCGACAATCGGGAGCAAGCGACATTTGGAAAGAAGCGACAAGTATGAGCGAGCGAACATTGGGAGCAAGCGGCAATTAAGAGTAAGTGACATTTGGGAGCAAGTGACAATTGGGAGCAAGCAACAACTGGGAGCAAGCAACAATTCGGAGCCAGTGACAACTGGGTGCAAGCAAGTTTGGGAGCAAGCGACAACTGGGAGCAATCGACAACTGGGATCAAGCGACAATTAAGAGGAAGCGAGAAATGGGATCAAACGAGAATTGGGAGCAAGCAACAGTTGGGAGCAAGCGACAATTGGGAAAAAGCGAGAAATGGGAGCAAGCGAACATTTGCAAGCGGAAATTGGGAGCAAGTGACATTTGGGAGCAAGTGACATTTGGGAGCAAGTGACAATTGGGAGCAAGAGAACATTGGGAGCAAGTGACAATTGTGAGCAAGCAACAACTGGGAGCAAGCGATAATTGAGAGCAAGCGATATTTTGGATAAAGCAACAATTGGGAGCAAGCGACGATTTGGAGGAAGCGGAAAACTGGGAGTAAGCGACATTTGGGATCAAGCGACAAGTGGGAGCAAGCGAACATTGGGAGGAAGCGACAATTTTGAGCAAGCAACAATTGGGAGCAAGCAACAATTGGGAGCGAGCGAAAAATGGGAGCAAGTAAACATTGAGAGCAAGCGAAACTTGGGAGCAAGCGAGAATTGGGAGCAGGCGACCACTGGGAGCAAGCGACTACTGGGAGCAAGCGACAACTGGGAGCAAGCGACAATTGGGAGCAAGCGACACTTGGGAGGAATCGACAATTGGGAGGAAGCGACAGTTGGGAACAAGTGACAATTGGGAGTGTGCCTCATTTAGGAGCAGGCGACAACTGGGAGCAAGCAACAATCGGAAGCAAGCGACCATTGGGAGCAAGCGACCCTTGGGAGCAAGCAAAAATTGGGAGCAAGCGACATTTGGGTGCAAGTGACAACTGGGAGCAAATGACAATTGGGAGCAAGTGAACATTGGGAGCGAGCGATAATTGGGAGCAAGCGACAACTGGGAGCAAGCGACAATTGGGAGCAAGCGACAATTGGGAGCAAGCGACAATTGGGAGCAAGCTACAAATGGGAGCAAGCGACAAATGGGAGCAAGCGACAACTGGGAGCAAGCGACCACTGGGAGCAAGCGACCACTGGGAGCAAGCGACCACTGGGACCAAGCGACAACTGGGAGCAATCGACAATTGGGAGCCAGCGACAATTGGGAGCAAGCGACAATTGAGAGCAAGCGACATTTGGGAGCAAAAAACAATTGGAAGCGAGCGACAATTGGCAGCAAGCGACAATTGGGAGCCAGCGACAATTGGGAGCCAGCGACAATTGGGAGCAAGCGACAATTGAGAGCAAGCGACATTTGGGAGCAAACAACAATTGGGAGCGAGCGACAATTGGCAGCAAGCGACAATTGGGAGCCAGCGACAATTGGGAGTAAGCGACAACTGGGAGCAAGCGACAATTGAGAGCAAGCGACAATTGGGAGCAAGCGAGAATTGGGAGCAACCGACAACTGGGAGCAAGCGACAATTGAGAGCCAGCAACATTTAAGAGCAAGCGACAATTGGGAGCAAGCGACAATTGAGAGCAAGCGACAATTGGGAGCAAGCGACAATTGAGAGCAAGCGACATTTGGGAGCAAGCGACAATTGAGAGCCAGCAACATTTAAGAGCAAGCGACAATTTGGAGCAAGCGACAATTGGGAGCAACCGTCAATTGGGAACAAGCGAAAATTGGGAGCAGGCGACAATTGGGAGAAAGCGACAATTGGGAGCAAGCGACAATTGGGAGCAAGCTACAAATGGGAGCAAGCGACAAATGGGAGCAAGCGACCACTGGGAGCAAGCGACCACTGGGAGCAAGCGACAACTGGGAGCAATCGACAATTGGGAGCCAGCGACAATTGGGAGCAAGCGACAATTGAGAGCAAGCGACATTTGGGAGCAAACAACAATTGGAAGCGAGCGACAATTGGCAGCAAGCGACAATTGGGAGCCAGCGACAATTGGGAGCCAGCGACAATTGGGAGCAAGCGACAATTGAGAGCAAGCGACATTTGGGAGCAAACAACAATTGGGAGCGAGCGACAATTGGCAGCAAGCGAGAATTGGGAGCCAGCGACAATTGGGAGTAAGCGACAACTGGGAGCAAGCGACAATTGAGAGCAAGCGACAATTGGGAGCAAGCGAGAATTGGGAGCAACCGACAACTGGTAGCAAGCGACAATTGAGAGCCAGCAACATTTAAGAGCAAGCGACAATTGGGAGCAAGCGACAATTGAGAGCAAGCGACAATTGAGAGCAAGCGACAATTGAGAGCAAGCGACATTTGGGAGCAAGCGACAATTGAGAGCCAGCAACATTTAAGAGCAAGCGACAATTTGGAGCAAGCGACAATTGGGAGCAACCGTCAATTGGGAGCAAGGGAAAATTGGGAGCAGGCGACAATTGGGAGAAAGCGACATCGGGGAGCAAGCGACGAATGGGAGCAAGCGACAAATGGGAGCAAGCGACAAATGGGAGCAAGCGACAATTGGGAGTAAGCGACAATTGGGAGTAAGCGACAACTGGGAGCAAGCGACAATTGAGAGCAAGCGACAATTGGGAGCAAGCGAGAATTGGGAGCAACCGACAACTGGGAGCAAGCGACAATTGAGAGCCAGCAACATTTAAGAGCAAGCGACAATTGGGAGCAAGCGACAATTGAGAGCAAGCGACAATTGAGAGCAAGCGACAATTGAGAGCAAGCGACATTTGGGAGCAAGCGACAATTGAGAGCCAGCAACATTTAAGAGCAAGCGACAATTTGGAGCAAGCGACAATTGGGAGCAACCGTCAATTGGGAGCAAGGGAAAATTGGGAGCAGGCGACAATTGGGAGAAAGCGACATCGGGGAGCAAGCGACAAATGGGAGCAAGCGACAAATGGGAGCAAGCGACAAATGGGAGCAAGCGACAATTGGGAGTAAGCGACAATTGGGAGTAAGCGACAACTGGGAGCAAGCGACAATTGAGAGCAAGCGACAATTGGGAGCAAGCGAGAATTGGGAGCAACCGACAACTGGGAGCAAGCGACAATTGAGAGCCAGCAACATTTAAGAGCAAGCGACAATTGGGAGCAAGCGACAATTGAGAGCAAGCGACAATTGAGAGCAAGCGACAATTGAGAGCAAGCGACATTTGGGAGCAAGCGACAATTGAGAGCCAGCAACATTTAAGAGCAAGCGACAATTTGGAGCAAGCGACAATTTGGAGCAAGCGACAATTGGGAGCAACCGTCAATTGGGAGCAAGGGAAAATTGGGAGCATGCGACAATTGGGAGAAAGCGACATCGGGGAGCAAGCGACAAATGGGAGCAAGCGATAGCTGCTAACAAAAGGTCTATAGCTACAGTTGCAAGTCGCCGTTTCGCGACAATAAATCGCTCTAATTTTGTATAGAGTCGTCCTACCCTCTATTGACAAGCTAGCAAATTGAATCAATCCATAGATCTTTGCGCAAGGTAGGATACAAGCGTTTTTTCTAATTTCGACGGGGCAGAGCTTCAGTGAAATTTCGAAACCTTGGTCCGAGTTTTTAGGCCGACAAGTTGACTTTTCGAGCACTCCCAAATAGTATGAAGACCTTATTTTCAAAAAACAAACCGGCGAAATGTGACGTTTTAGGTCATTTTATGGAAGGTTTTTAGCAAAAAACAATGCGTTTTTCTCCCCGGATCTCTTTAACAATTTCCATATATACAAAAGCGCTAGTCATACAATTTCCACATATGAAAAAATACTAATCATAGACCTTTCATGCAATTTTCTGTATTTACGGATTTGTATGGAGAGTGTATGATTAGCATTTTGGTCATCCCGGGATAATGAACTAAATCAACAGTAAAGCATATCAGAAATTTATACCTAGTAACGAATCCCCCCTTTGCAAAAGGGGGAAATATTTAAAGAGATCTTTCGCGTCCCCTCCCCCATGCACCCTCAAGTTCTAAAGTTTAGTACAATTCCCTTAGAAATAGCGATTGTTCTCACGTGTGTATCCCATCTCATCATGCTCCATTTGACAGTCTGTAGTTCTCCCTTCGGTCACTTCTTTCACCCAGTACCACCTCTCGGACGAAGTGGATGCATAAGAGGGGTAGTCAGCACAGTTCACACTTCTTATCGCCTCTGGCTCATAGCCAATGCCATATTTGCTGTAACCCTTGCATAGTTTGACAACGTTCTGAAAACAAAGTGCCATTTTGGACAATTTCAGCTAAAATTTAATTATATATGAAGGTAACCGGGACGAGGTCCCATACTCATGTCCAGACTTTCGCGACAAAATTTTGGCATGTCCAGAGTTTCCAGACCAAAATTAGGCATGTCCAGACTTTCGCGACCAAAACCTGGTATTTCCAGACTTTTGGGACCATGATGATCAGTTGCGACTTTCGCGCCCGAAGGGGAGGTGGCGCGATCAAAACATCGAAACTCGTATTTCGCATGTCCAGGTTCTTTGTCATTTCCAGATTTGTCATTTCCAGACTTTCGCGACCGAAAAATTCAGGCGTGACTTTCGCGACTAAGTTGGATACAGCGCGACCCTGCGGCTCCTGAAACGGCGCGACCAGCGCGACCAAGCTCTGCCATTTCCAGACCGAGATGGAGACGGCGCGATTTTCCAGATCATCATGGAGGCGCGCGACTAACAAAAAGTTTTTCAGGGCTTCCGTGACCGAGGTGGAGACGGCGCTACTTTTGTGATCAAGAAGGCTACGGCGCGACTCAGCAACGGTGCGACCGGCCTGGCCAGCGCGACCAAAAACTGCAATTTCAAGACTTTCGCGACCGAAGTGGAGATGGCGCGACTTTCCAGACCGAGATGGAGACGGAGCGACCAAGAATCAATTCTTCGCGACCGTGGTGGAAGCGGCGCGACTGTCCAGACCGAGTCAAAAATTTTGGGGCCTCAGAAATTAGACGACAAGCAAATTGGGCGATTGTAAAATAATTTAATTTAAACAATAATAACTGCAGTTGGGTCAACATTTTATGTTTAGAATAAGAAGTTGCTTAAAAACAAAAAGAGTATACTACGATCACAGAACTGATCAAAATTATTATTGTAAGTTAATTATAAAACTTCAAATGAAAAAAGTATAAGACATTTTTGAAATGCACAAGTTATACAACTGTGACATTAATAACCTCGTTGTGGTTGGACAAACAATATTTAGTCAAACAAGAACTATTTTAAGTATGTAAACAAATTTCAAGCCATTTGGCAATTTGCACGGAAGTCATTTTCTAAGTTCCGTTACTTTTTGATCGTCTAATTTGCTTGTCGTCTCAATTTCCTAAAGCTGAAGGTTTTGTATACTATTTACATTAAAACAATTGCAGTCTTATAAGTGTCTTTATAAAGTATAACTTTGGACAATTTCGCTTGAAAATGCTAAATAAATGTGAACTTTTTCTTTACTATTAACAACATTAAAACTGCACACAAATGATTTTGGTGGTAGGTCAGTAAACTGATGTGTCAGAAACCCAAAAACGAACAAGAGATCAACGGACCGAAATTGAAATCACCTGATCAGTTAAATGAAAATTGAGAAAAGGTGTTCAGTAAGCCAAAAATTTTTCAAAGTAACAACGTTTCCAAAGTAACATGTTAAACTTAGAAGAGATTATTTGCATTCCTGCTGTAAATTAAGTTACACAGCTAAGGAATTGAAATATAGCAGTCAATCTGTGGAAATTTTTAAATATGGTTCCTTTATGCATTCATTTTACGCTGAGTTAGAATTAATAAATCGCAGCCGATTACGTAATTGTTAAATAGTTGTTGTGTAAATGTTTCATACATCGATTTACTGCACGCAGACCATCATTTTTTTCTGTTGGCTAGATAACTGAAGCCTTCGTAATCTTTCCTTAATAGCCCGCACCGGAGTTCCATGGATAATAATCGATTATAATGAATTTTCGTGGTCTGTCTCAATAAATTTCGATAATAATCTATTATAATCGATTAAAAATGGATTATAATGAAACTATTTTTCTAATCAATAAAATCCGAATATAATCGATTATAATCGATTATAATCGATTATTTTTGAAAGAAAATGAAACTTGTTTTCGAGGCAAAATAATCCATTTTTAATCGATTATAATCGATTATAATAGATTTTTTTGAGGGTTATTCTTGAAATTTACAATTTTGTTCAAAATTATCTCATTTCCTGTTTAGTGCAGTTGCTACGAATTACGTTTCATAAAATGTTACATTTCAGAATAAAATTAATACTTTTGTCTCTACTTTTTTTAATTCATCGCAGTTTAACTAACACTTCATTTCACTGTTTTTTTAACCAAAACCCTAATAAAACTAAATTTTCAGGGGTTTGAATTAGATTTTCATAGCTTCCCCCACCGGAGTTCCATGTATAAAAATTATAAGTTTTTTTAACCCAATTTTTTTACCCCCCCCCCCATCCCCCCGATTTCAGTGACAATCGATTTCAGTGACAAAAATAATGGATTATAATCGATTATAATGGATTAATGTGGATTTTTATTTTTCAAAAAAATCGATTTTAATGACCACAATCGATTACGTGGTCTAAATTTGCCACAATAATGGATTGAAATGGATTATAATGGATTATAATGACAACATTTTAGACAACGTTTTTCCATTATAATCGATTATTATCCAAGGAACTCCGGTGCGGGAGTGTTCTTTCAGGGCTTCTCACAGTGATATAAATGCCGATCGATTATCGAAAATTGAAAGCAAATAATAGCTTTGAGTCCTTTCTGCAACACTTTTTTGTGAAACAGGCCGCGGAGACCTACACCATAAGGATATTTTCTTAAGATTAAAATTCAAACTTCATCATGAGCTCAAGCTATGGATATCCTACAGGAATTTACCATGCGTTTTTAGTACAATCTGATCTCGCAATCACGTTAATGCTGGTTGCGTCACAAAGCCACTCAGCCACCTGTCAAAAAACCACCTAGTTCATTTTTTGACATTTTAAAAATTAAAGTTATTTCACTTAATGTCACCCACCCCTGCAATTTCATAAGTCTACTAACATAAGTTTTTTAAACATAAGCCAATTTCCATCTTCTATTTTATTTCAAGGCTGAGCAAAGACCGCTGAAACAAATATGTTTACCAGGTCATCCTCCATTATTTTCAAGCATATTTTTGGAGGTAATAATGATTATAATGAAAAAGTAAGGAAAAAAATCATATTGTAAATTAAAATCTGAGGAGTAACGTTTTTGGTTACTAACGGATTTATATCAATTGTTTTAAAATTTCATAGAGACATTATAATCGATCAAAATTAAGTTACGTAAAATTAAAATTTTAGTTTTAATTACAAGCAATTGAAATTAAGGTTCTGAATTGAATACCGCTCTGAAGTATTTGGCTGATAACCGATCATAATGTCACATTACATAGAGACAATGTGACATTATAATCGATTATCAGCCAAATACTTCAGAGCGGTATTCAATTCAGAAACTTATTTTTTAATTGCGTGTGATAAAAACGCTTCATAGAAAGCAAAACTGCTCGCAAAATGGAACCTGATCTAAACTACATTTTATGATTGGATAAATTAGATATTTTACCATTGTAAAGTATTTAATATTAACCAATCATGATCCATCTAACTAACAACCCACTTATTTGTAAGTGCTGGAATTACTTGTAATTTCAGCACCAGAGAGATTTGAATTTAACTTAGAAATTAGTTGACTCTCCAAGAAGACTTCAGCAGCCGCAATAAACCAGTATACCCTAGATCTATTGAGCCTAGCAGAGACTAGTTAAACAACCTGAGACTAGATAGTAGAAGAGTAAGATTAGGATCGGTATTAGACTAAGAAGTTGCACGAATCTATCCGGCCGAAAATAAGATAGCGTGACGAGCAGACGGTGTACCCTATCCGAAATTACTCAATGAGTTAACCACCTCGGTCTTAACTCATCTGGTGCGACCATAAGTCTCGAACAAGACCTTAATAGCTTAGAATTAACCAAAAATAGATTAGAATTTAGACAAAACATTTTTAAAATGTTATACGACGATAATTTAATCGAGATGTCTCTACGACTCAATAGATCAGAGCCAATATTCCGAACGATAACAGAACTACCCGGAATTGCAAGAAGACCTCGAACCAGAGACGACATACGACAAAATGGAAACTTACCAATTAGTTATATGATAGTACGGCAAAAGCCAACACAAACTTTTATATTTAGAATTCTATTAGCAATGAATTTAGATTTTCATTTGCAAACATAAAATTTTGAAGTCAATCTTCATAATCATTACAGGCGCTAAACAAAATATTAATATACAATAACGATTGATAAAAAGATCTCAGATCGTTTTTCTAAAATTCTGCAGTATTATATAAAACATGTTTGGAAAATATTTATTGAAAATCAAAATAAAAATTAGTAGCATGACAATAAACTGTTAGTAATCAAAAAATCATCAGTTGTCCCAGCTTCATCACCTAAAACATAACAGCAATCATAAGCTCACTTATATCATTAAAACACTAAATCTTTTCTTAAACAAATTTAAACCATTTTCAACTTAAAATCACTTAATTTTAAAATCAGATCATCAAGGCTTATCCTTGGATCTTAATTCATTTTCTATTTAATTAAATTTAAACTTGATCATCAAGGCCTATCCTTGGATCAAAAAGAACAATTTTTTTCTCCCCCACCCACTTAGCTAGTGTCTAACGACCTCAAACGTTGATTCACTATCCAACCCTCTCTAAAAACCCAAGACTAATAGAAATTTTTTTAAAACAAAACTAACCATTCAAATTAGGATAAACAGTGAAGAACTTCGGTTATTCATCCTTCACTTGATCCCTCCTCTTATCAAGACCCAGGATAAATCTTAGACTTAGTAAGTTTAAAATAGTATCTAACGAACTACTCGCGTTCTAATTATACCTGAACCTTGTGGATCGATTTACTATTCTCCAACCCTTGAACACAATCACTACCCCTAAGTAAGATTAAGTAAGTTAACACCTTAGCTTATACTAGCCACGAGAAAGTAAAAAATCATTCTTCGGAATTGATATACTTTTCTCTCCAACCCCGAACAAATAGACCCAGGTTAAGCTAACCAAAAAATCGTAAGGACTAACAATTTAAGAAAATAGAAATCATCTAACAAC